CTTTTTACTTCTTCAGTTTCTTTTTCCATAAGCAAATAAAGAATGTCTACCATGACTTTTTCCTTTTGATAGTGTTTCTTAATTTCATACATTGAAGTTTTTACCACCAGTACCACAGTGCTCAGTATTACATTTATACTTTTTCAGAGTGTGTCTGTAATATCCTTGGTACTAACCAGACTATTGAGTTCTGTGACCATGAGACTGGCCAGTGCCCCTGCCTTCCTAATGTGCTTGGACTGGAGTGTGACCGCTGTGCTGCAAACCACTGGAAGATTGCATCAGGCATGGGCTGCGAACCCTGTGCATGTGACCCTGTGGGTTCCTTCTCTGAGCAGTGCAACGAGGTGAGGAGGAATTTATCTTGTCAGGTTCTTGTGATTTGACGTTTCAATGTGGATGGTTTACTCCATCCATTTAATTTTTTTTTTTTCCATTTCATAGCCTATTTGAATTGTGCATTTGCTTCATGACTATTTATTATGGTAGGTGTGATGCTGATTTTTTATCATCATGAATTTTTAATGTGAAAAATATTTACAGCAACATAGCCGGACTTACAGCTCTAGGGGGACTGTAAGTAATGGTTCTGGTAACACCAAGCTTCTGAATAATAATTTATGTATTACTTTCTTGTATTTTGTTGATCACTGTTTTTATTTTTAGTAATTTTTATATAGCATGATTTTGAAGTATGAATTTATTTAACAAATATAGATTTTATATTTATGATTTTGTTATTTTTCTAATTTGATAACATAGATGATTTTATGGTAATTAGTCATGATTTTGAGTGAAAGTAAATATTTCTACATTATATCCCTTAGCACTTGCCAGTTTGTAAAACCTGTTTAAAATATTAGCTCATATTGCTTTTCATTTGAAATCAGGATTGAATATCAGAGGTTATATATAAATATTGTAAATTTAATTACTTGCATGGTTATTTGTTTCTTTAATCTTCATAATTACTATCTTCATCGTCATCATACATCAAATATTTTTTTGGTTGGCCTTTTTCATGCTGAATTGCATCATGAATCTTTTTACTTATATTATTGATTTTGTATTTGACAGTTTGATGGGCAGTGTCAGTGTCGACCTGGATTTGGTGGACGCCAGTGCAATCAGTGCCAAACAAATTTCTTCGGCAATCCACGTGTTGAATGCCTGCGTACGTTGCTTTTAAGAAAATTTGTATTCAGTTTTGGAATGTAGAAAAAAAAAATTATTAGTAAATCCACTTGTTTTGAATTGTCATCTTCACCATAATACAATTGAAAAAATAATTGAAATAAAATGATAATTAACTAATTTCCCCCATATCTTCAGCTTGTAATTGCAACCCAGAAGGTTCAGAGACTCTCCAGTGCAATCATGAGACAGGACATTGTGAGTGTCGTGAGGGCATCGGGGGTGTAAAATGTGATGAGTGTGCCCGAGGATTCACCGGCAGAGCACCGTACTGTCAGACATGTGGGGAATGCTTTGACAACTGGGACCTTATTTTGAATGACTTGCGAGGTGAGGAAGTGGGGCTGTTGAACAATAGAAAGTATGATTCAAGCCATTAAATATGCCATCATTAACTGTCAATTTCTTGAGGGATATACAAGGTGCAAAACTTTCTCTACTGGGAAAGTTAAGAGGCCTGCACCCATCAATATACTGTGCAGGAAATAATGGCCACTGCCCTTTTATTTGGCAAATAATGTAATAAAGTAGCCCTTGTTTTTACCGAATAAGATTCTTCTTCTTCTTCTTCTCCTGCTCCTTGTTCTTCTTCTTCTTCTCCTGCTCCTTCTTCTTCTTCTTCTTCTCCTTCTCCTGCTCCTTCTTCTTCTTCTTCTTTTTCTTCTTCTTCTTCGTCTTCTTCTCCTCCTCCTCCTCCTCTTCTCCCCCACTCCTCCTTCTCTCTCCTCTTCCTCCTTCTGCTCCTCTCCTCCTCCATCCCTCTCTCTTCTCCTCCTCCTTCTCTCTCTTCTCTTCTCCTCCTCTCTCTCTGCTACTTCTCTTCTTCCTCCTCTCCTTTTCTCCTCTCCTCCCTCCTTCTTCTCTCCTCCTTCTCCTCCTCCTCCTCTCTCCTCCTCCTCCTTCTTACATTCTTCTTCTGCTCTTTTCTCGCTTCTTCTTCTTCTTCTCTCCTCCATATATATATATACTTCTGTCTCGTGTTGGCTTCTTCTTCTTCTTCTTTCTTCTTCTCTCCTTCTTTCTACTCTCGCTCGGGTCCATACTCCTCATCTCCTCCTCTCTCCTTCTCCTCTCCTCCTCTCTCTCCTACTCCTAATATATCCCTCATCCTCTCCCGTTACTCCCTCCCTTACGTTTCTACTGATCTAATCGCTCCTCTCAATTCTCTCTCCACTCGCTCTCTCACTTCCATACGCTCCTCCTCACTTCCTCTCTCCTCCTCCTCCCTCTCACAGATGAAATTCTCTCCTGCTCTCCTCATTCCTGGCCACCTTCCTCCTCCTCACTTCTCCACTCTCCTCCTACCTTCGGGTCACTCCGGGGTCCTACTTCTCTCTCGCTCGGTACTGCTACTTCTCTCTCCTCGTCTCCTCACCTTCCTCTCTCCTCGGTCTCCTCACCTTTCCTCCACCTCCTCCTCCTCCTCCTCCTCCTCTCCTTCCTCTCCTCTTCTTCCTCACTCTCCGCTCCCATTCTTCTCCTTCTCCTCTTCTCCTCCTCTCCTCCCTTATTCTTCTTCCTTCTCCTCTCCTCCTTCTCTTTTCTTTCTTAATTTCTCCTTTCCTTCTCATCCTCTCTCCTCCTCATTTATCCTCCTCCTACTCCTCCTCCTCTTCTCCTCCTCCTTCTTCTTCTCCCTTATATATACTCTCCTCTTCTCCTCCTTCTTTTTAATATATATTCTTTTTCCTTATCTTCTATTCTTTCTTCTTTCTTCTCTTACTTCTTCTTCTTCTTCTTTCTTCTCCTCCTCCTCCTCTCGCGGACTCCTCCTCCTTCCTCCTTTTCATCTTCTTCTTCTTTTCTTCTTCCTTCGTCCTCCTCCTCTCCTTACTTCCTCTCTCCTTCTTATTCTACTTCTATCTTCTTCCTTCTTCTTCTTCTCCTTCTCCTCTTTTCTTCTCCTTCTTTCTTCTTTCATCTCCTTCTTTTCACTTCATATAATATAACCTTCTTCTTCTTCTTCTTCTAGCCTTCTTCTTCTTCCTTCTTCTTCTTCTGTATAAGACTACCTCTGACAATCTCCTCTCTCCTCTCCTCTCTCCCCTCTAGGTCCTCCATATCCTTCCTCTCTACTACCTACCTTCTGACCATAAACTCACTCCTCTCACTTCCTCCTCCTCCTCCTCTTACTTCAATCTTCTCTTCTTTCTTCTGGGTTTCTTCTTTTCCTCCTCCTCCTCCTCCTCCTCCTCTCTCCTGCTCCTTCTTCTTTCTTCTTCTTCTTCTTCTTCTCCATTCTCCTCCTTTTCCTTCTCCTCTTCTTCTTCTTCATCTCCTTCCTTCCTTCTTCTTTCTTTCTCTTTCTTTCTTCTTTCCGCTCTCTTTTCTTCCTTCTTTTTCTTATTCTTCTTCTCTTCTTCTTTCCTTGCCTCTCTCTTTTTCTTCCCTTTTCTTCTTCCTCTTCTCCTTTCCTCTCCTCCTTCTTTCTTTCTTCTTTCTTCTTCTTTTTTTGCCAAGATTGCTTTTGGCTGTTTTTTCATTCTTTCTTCTTTTTTCTCTCTTCTCTTCTTCTTTCCCCGCTTCTTCTTCTCCTCTCTTCCTCCATCCTCTCCTCCTCCGACCTTTCTCCACGTCCTCGCTCTCCTCTCCTCCTCTCACCGCTTCCATCCAGAATAGACGGTCGAGGCTCAGACTACCCCATCCTTCTTCTTCTCCTCTTCTTCCTTTCCCCATCTTCCTCCTCCCCTTTTCTTCTCGCCTTCTCACTCCTCCTCTCCTCCTCCTCGGCTCCTCTTCATCCTCTGACAATCCTATCGGCCAGCACAGTCTCCTCTGTGCCTACAGCTTCTTCTTTCTTCTCCTTTCTTCTTCTCTTTCTCTCCTTTTCTTCTCTTCTCTCCTCTCTCCTCTCCTCACTCCCTCCTCCTCTCCATCCTCCTCTCTCCTCCTCAGCTCCTTTTCTCTTTCTTATCCTTCTCCTCTTAACTTCTCTCCTCTCCTCCTCTCCCTCGCCTCTTTCTCTCGTCCTTCCCTCTGCTCTTCTCTCCTCACTCCTCCTTCTCCTCCTCCTCCTCACCGGTTCTTCTTTGATGTGTCGATATATTCATCACTGGATAAAGACTCTGGATATCTCTCAATCTTATGCTTCTACCTGGGCTTATTTATCTTTTTGTCGTTGCCTTTTTTTATTTTCATTGGTTTCTTTTGTGCATTTCTTTCTTCTTCTGTCTCCTCCTGCTTCTTCGCTATGCTTTCGCTTTCTTCTTCTTCTCCTTCTTCTTCTTCGGAACCTCCGTTCTTCTTCTGCTAGACTTCTTCTTCTTCGTTATTGTGTTTTTGCTCTGCTTTTCTTGCTTCTAATCTTCATTCTTCTTCTTCTTCATTCTTCTTCTTTCTTCTCCCTCCTCTCCTCCTCACTCCTCACTCAACCTTCTACTCGGCACCTACTCTCACTCCTCCTTCTTCTTTTTCTCATGGATTCTTCTCTTCTTCTCTTTTTCTTCCTTTCTTTTCTCTTTTCCTCTTTCCTACTTCTCTTTCTTCTACACCTTCTTCTTCTCCTCCCCTCCTCCTCCTTCTCCTGTCTTCTTAGGCCACTTTTTTTCCTCTTCTTCTTACTATACCTGCCTCTTCCTTCCTCTTCTTCTTTTCTTCATCTTCTTTCCCTCTTTCTTTCTTCTTCTTGGGATCATTCAAAAACCTCCTCTTTCTTCTTTCTTTTTCTTCTCCCGTTCGCTTCTTCTCTTCTTCCTTCTCCTCCTTCTCTTTCTTGTTTATCATCTTCTTTCTTCTCCTTTCCCTTCTTCCCTCCTCTTCCTTTCCTTCCTCTCTTGCTCTTCCTCTCTTCTTTTCTCCCTTTTTTTCTCCTCTTCTTTCTTTCCTCTCTTCTTCTTCTTCCTCTTCTTCACTGTGTCACCTTCTTCCTCTGTCCATCAGGCTCAGATTCTCTTCTCTATCTTTCTTCTTCCTTTCTCTTCTATCTTCTTGCTTCATCTTCTGTCATCAGCGTTTCTCCTTCTTCCTCTCCTTTTTTCCTTCTTCTCTCCTTCTCTCTCACATCTTTTTTTTTCTTCTTTTAACAGTTTTTCTCTTTTTTTCTCTTTTTCACCCTATTTTCCTTTTTTTTCCTTTTTCTTTTTCTTTTTCTTGTTTCTTCGTTCTTCTTTTGTTCTTGTTTTGTTCTTGTTCTTGTTCTTGTTCTTGTTTTGTTCTTGTTCTTCGTTCTTGTTCGTCTTCTTCTTCTTTTCTTCTTCTTCTTCTTCTTCTTCTTCTTCTTCTTTCTCCTCCTCCTCCTCTCCTCCTCCTCCTCCTCCTCCCTCCTTCCTTCCTTCTTTCTCCTCCTCCTTCTTCTTCTTCTCTTCTCCTTCTTCTTGCTCTTCTTCTCCTTCTCCTTCTTCTTCTTCTTCTTCTCTTCTTCTTCTTCTTCTTCTTCTTCTTTCTTCTTCTTTCTTCTTCTCTTCTTCTTCTTCTCTTCTTCTTCTCTCCTCTTCTTTCTTCTCCTCTTTTCTTCTCCTTTCTTCTTTCCTCCTTCTTCTTCTCCTCTTTTCTTCTCCTTCTTCTTCTTCCCTCCTCTTTCTTCTTTCCTCTCTCTTCTTCTTCCTCCTCTTCTCTTCTTCTTCTTTCCTTCTTCTTTTCTCCTCCTCTCTTTCTCTCTTCTCTTCTCTCTTCTCCTTCTTCTCTTCCTCTCCTTTCCTTTTCTTCCTTTCCTTCTCCTTCCTCTCCTTTCTCTCTTCTCCTTCTCCTTCTCCTTCCTCCTTCTCCTTCTTCTCCCTTCTTTTTCTTTTTCTCTTTTTTCTTTTTCCTTTTTCTTTTTCCCTTTTTTTTCTTTTTCTTTTTCTTTTTCTTTTTCTTGTTCTTGTTCTTGTTCTTGTTCTTGTTCTTGTTCTTGTTCTTGTTCTTGTTCTTGTTCTTGTTTTCTTTTCTTCTTCTTTTTCTTTCTTTTTTTCTTTTTCTTTCTTTTTTTCTTTTTCTTTTCTTTTTTTTTTCTTTTTCTTTTTCTTTCTTTTCTTCTTTTCTTTTCTTCTTCTTCTTCTTCTTCTTTCTTCTCTTCTTCTTTTCCTTCTCCTTTCTTCTTCCTTCTTTTCTTCTTTTCCTTCTTCTTCTTCTCTCTTCTTCTTCTTCTTCTTCTCTCCTCTTCTTCTTCTCTTCTTTCCTTCTTCTTCTTCCTTCCTCTTCTTCTTCTTCTTCTTCTTCTTCCTCTTCTTCTTCTTCTTTCTTTTCTTCTTCTTCTTTTCTTCCTTTCTTCTTCTTCTTCCTTTCTTCCTTTCTCTTCTTCTTCTTCTTCTCTTCTTCTTCTTCTTCTTCTTCTCTTCTTTCTTCTTCTTCTTCTCTTCTTCTTCTTTCTTCTTCTTCTTCCTTCTTCCTTTCTTCTCTTCTTTCTTCTTCTTCTCTTCTCCTTTTTCCTTCTCCTTCTCCTCCTTTTTCTTCTTCCCCTCCTTCTCCTCCTCATTGTCCTCCTCTTCCTTCTTCCTCTTTCTTCTCTCTTGTTTCCTCCTCCTTCTCCTCCTTCCCCTTCTTATGTGGGGGAATTATAATTGCCATTTTTATTATTATTATTTCACCTGTTCAAATTCTATTTTTATTATATTTATGTCTCAGTTGATAACTTTGCTTTTCAAATACTTTTATTTATACCATTATAATTTATTTTCAGAGCGCACAGAAGCCCTGATTGCAGCTGCTGGACAGATCAAGCAGACAGGAGCAACTGGTGCTTACAGTCATGAGTTTGAGTCAATGGAAGAGAAGATTGCAGACGTACAGAACATTTTGCTAACTGCCAATCTAACATCACAGAATCTTGCTTCACTCTCAAGCCTCATTTCTGAGTTAACGTAAGTGAAAAATACGTGTACAGGTTTTGAAAGGAATAAGAGCATATGCAGTATTATATGTTGAAAAAGTCTTATGAATAGTTTGTTGTGTATGTAGAGGTAAGTTCAGTTTTACTGCTTTTCAAGCTAAGAAAACAACATTAATTTTATACATAATATCCGTTCCAGAGACAACCTAACTGTAGCTGCATCAGAACTTCAAGACCTGGAGCATGGTGTGGATAACACTACACAGCGCATTTCTTTGGCTACAAATGCCCTGGCAGATCTTCGATTGCAAGCAGAGGAACTGAAGAATCAAGCAGGAGACCTTAAAGAAAAAGCTACCAAGTTGCAAGAAGCTAATGTTGAAGGTTCGTATGTGAGGGTGTTAGGGGAAAGGGTAATATGGATCTGTGGGCAATAATAGGTTCAGTATCATGGATGGCATGTCTTTTCTTTTCTTCTTCTTATGTATCTGTGTTCACAGTATTCATCAATTCGTTCTTTTTTGGCCTTACAGTTTTATTTGAGTTGGAAAGGTGGATGGTAATGAAAGGAAGTAAACTGACAGTGTAAGATTAGCTTTAGTTCTGTTTCTTTGTGTCTCTTAGTACCCACAGTTAAAATAGTTATGTAGCAAATTACCCTCAAAGCTAGATAATAGAAAGCTCCTATTGTCTCCACAGGTGCTCTCAACCTCACCAGGGTGGCTGGAGAAAGATCACGAGTTGCCCAAGAGAAGGTTGAGCTTACTCAAGTCATTGTTGGGGAGTCAAGACGCTCTCGCCGCAGGACTGAAAATCTTCTTCTGCATGCTTTAGATCGTTTCAACCGCACGCAGATTAAAAATGCAGAGGATTTAGCAGAAATGACAGATATGTTGGATGAAATGTATCGGGGCATCCCTGATCTTAATGAGCAGGTAGCGTATATGAAGTCATGTTTGAACATTATTTACACTTTAAAAGGATATTTTGAAGAATCAAGTAGTATATTGTGCTATAGTAGGAGTGGACCCTAGCATTTTGACAGTGAAACAAAACAGTATTATTTAGTAAATGAGGGCTTTTATAGGAGTGTGATAATAGACAATCCTTGTTGTTCTTACTTTTATCTTTTTGTAGGTGTGTGACCGAAGGGGTGATCCTTGTGATACTTATTGTGGTGGAGCTGGATGTGGAAAGTGCGGAGGGCTCTCCTGTAATAATGGTCTCGTAAACACCGCTGAGCTTGCCCTCAAGTTTGCAGATGATGCCAAGGAAATGCTGAAGAAGAAGGAGGCTTCAGTTGATGAGCTATTACGAGGCATTTCTGGGGCTAAAAGGCAGTCTGATGTAGCCTCAGACTTGGCTCAAATGGCCTATGACCTGGCCTTCAGCTCCCGCAACTTAACAGATTCATACAAAGCAAGAATTACTAAGCTCTTAGAAGAAATAGAAGAATACTTTAGCACACCTGGTGCCAAACCCCAAGAAATTAGGGATCTAGCTGAAGAGGTGTGTATGAATATTTGTCTTGTGATTAACTATACTTTCTTATGAATCAGCATAGGTTAGCCAAGAAAGCATGGCCTAAACTCGAAAGGTATTATTGAAGTTTTATTTTTCATCAGTTGCATTTATTCAACAGGTCTTGAGCATCGTTATCTCCCTGGAACCAGAACAGATTACAGACCTAGCAGAGAAGATCACACTTGCCATTGAGACTCTAACAAATATTAATGCAATTATTGATGCAACTAGGAATGATCTAGACCTCGCAATACAGTTGAAAGGTACTCCTGAGTATATTCCATTATAGATAGTGTAATGATGTGTACCCAGATTATAGTAGCTAAGCTTTTGTAATTGCCTATCTGTTTTTCTGCTGTAGTTTCTGTCATGGAAGATTATTTTCTATTCCTAAGTATATAGATATAGATTATTATTTATCTCTTCTAATATTAGTCATTTTTAAATGTTAACATCAGAAAGAGCTGACAGAGCCAAGATTAAGGCTGAAGGAACTCTGGGTGTAGCAGAGCGTGTTGTAGAAGCCCTCACTGAAGCAAGTGCAGCACAGGATGCTGCAGAACAAGCTATTGTGCAGGCTAGTGATGACATTGAGGCCACCCAGACTCATCTTACCCAGGTAGGTTTCAAGCAGGTCTCGTAATATGAGGGAGTAGTAGTTGTCATAGATCTTTCATGTAGGACTATATTTTAATTAAATTTTAATTTGTAAGTTTTGAAAACACTTATAAAGCAAAGTATTTCATTCCAGATTGCTAGTGAGACCAGTGTAGCTCAGGCCAAAGCCAATTCCTCACTAAGGGAGGTACAGGACCTGGAAAGGAGAGTTGAGAGTGTAAAGTTGCAGTATATCATCAATCAACAACATCTCGAAGATACAACTGCTGCTGTCAACCAGGCGGATCTCAAAGCACAGCGAGCAGCCAATGATGCTAAACAGCTGGAAGATGTAAGGCAGACAGTACTACTATACATGAAAATTATTTGGGAATTTTGAAAGTGACAGGAATTTTCTAGAAGATATATGATAATGTGAATTATGTTAGAATGAGTGTTCATGTAGTATTTTGTAATAATATCCTTTATTTTGTGGGCATGCAACTTAAGGGAAGTCTAATTTTGCATTCTGATAAATAAGTATTGTAAAAATGGTAATTTTTATGTTTTCAGAAATACTTGATTGTAGAGGAAAAGCTACAGATTAAGTTCCAAGCAGCTGAAGAAGCCAGACGAAGGGCAGAAGAACTTCGAAAGAGAGCAAACAAATTGGCATCAGAAGCTCAAGTCAAGCTAAGTATGCTTAAGGGTAAGTATCTCATAATGAGAGGAGAGATTTTCCTGGAAGCTCAAAGTAATAAAGATATTTTCCTGGTTGCTTAAGGGGACCATCCCGGGGAATGACCACCTTTCCCTGCTCATTTCATCGTAAAAAAAATTCGGTTGGAGATAACGCATTGATTCTTTTTGCATGATATAGAATATAGAATTGTGCTTCATCTCATTTACGGTTTTAACCTTGCTCCCCCCATAAGGGGGGAGTGAGGTTAAAACCCAAAAAGTTTTTTTTTTTTTTTTTTTTTTCTTTTTTTCTTCATCATCATCTTTGGTAAATCCCAACTCCTACAGTTTTTTTTCCTGATTAATCCCCTCAAATACTTATTTTAGATCTATTTTTTTTTTTTTTCAGCTTTAAAAAATTTATATTATATTATTATGGGGACTGTCCCAGATGAGGGGGGGGACAGGGGGTCAAATTGATTTAGCTTGCGTATAGTATAGGGCAAGTGCATCATTAATGAGAGCCCTGGTACACCTATGTGGACTTCTGCTTGCTGCAATTATGCATATGGCATTTGATTATGACATTGCACATAGATATGAGTTCTTGAATGTTCAAGGAACAATTTTATACCAATATCAGAAAAAAATTATATCACCGTGATTTATCACAAAATATTTTGTGAAATACATCTAAAAAAGTGTTTTGTGTCCGTTTACAAACGAAATATGCTTTGATAGAGGTAATATGTTGTAGGTTATGAAGTAATCTGTGTGTATATCACATACGAAGCACTAATGTTTGAAAATAGCCTAATAAGTAAGAATTGAAATATTTCCGTTACATTTTGCTTAAAGGACGGTACATCACAGCATGGGTAAATTTGATTTGACTTGAAATTGGTAGTTACCCTTGTAAAGACCAATTCAATACGAATGTTACCTAAATGTCGGATTTTTGAACTTCTGATGTATAAGCGAGATACAGATTATTTCATATTGAAGATGATAGTACTCAGTAATGCCCGCTCTGAAATAAAAACCATATGGAATTTTGAGTTGAGTGCACAATCTTCGAAAAGGCTATTGCTTCTGTTTTGTGCGTTCCTGATAAAAACTATTGCTTTTAGTCGTTACCATAGGTCATAGTTACCATAAATTCGCAAATATCCCAAGTCGTCTGCATGATTTTATGTTCTTAGTAAAGATAATGGCTGCAAATGGCTAATCACCAACTCTACACTCGTTCCCCTTTGCAATCTGTTGATATTGACAGTTATCAAAGAAAACGGTTTGAGAGGGATTACTAATGTATTTTTATTCCTTTAGTTGTGAAAGTCAGTGTAGGCCCAGTAAATATGAGGATGATTCATTTTTTTAACTTTATGTGCTTTACTAAATTCATATGCTTTTAAAATTCTCAAAATTGAACCATCATGTTGTATTCATGCCATGACAAGCCACGTCAGAGAGGTATTACTGAGTACTATCATCTTCAATATGAAATAATCTGTATCTCGCTTATACATCCGAAGTTCAAAAATCCGACATTAGGTAACATTCGTATTGAATTGGTCTTTACAAGGGTAACTACCAATTTCAAGTCAAATCAAATTTACCCATGCTGTGATGTACCGTCCTTTAAGCGAAATGTAACGGAAATATTTCAATTCTTACTTATTAGGCTATTTTCAAACATTAGTGCTTCGTAAAATCCACAGTTCCCCATTTCTTCAAAATTAGTGCTTCAAAAAATCCAGTTCCCCATTTCTTCAAAATTGAAGTAAAAAAAAAATTCTTATCTGGTTTAGATTAGTTGTCTTTATGATAAAATGCATTTATTTTCTATATCCAACAAACAAATAAAAAAATTACATACCTTTATAGGAAAGTGTCCCTATTGAAAATGATAATTCCGATTTACTTGGTAATCAATGCATCACAAAGTTCACTAAATAAGCTTTTTTTTTTTTATAAATATATATCATTATTAGATTTAGAGAAAAATAGCAGAGATAATGAACTTTGGCAATGTACCAAAATATAAACCGCCATATCTCTGTTCTTTGCTTACATTACCTTCGGTACATCACATTCGTAAGTTTAAAGCGATTTAAATGTAATTTGCTGCTTTTGCTAGAGCCTTGGAGCCCTAAGGCCGTGTAAATCACCGACTTTTAAATTTTGGGCTCATTCAAAAAATATTCATTTTTTAATGCTGAAAAAAAAAAATAGTACTCTATGTCAACCAGGTCCCCGCAAAAGAAAGAAAGAAAGAAAAGAGAGAGAGAAAAAAAAGGAAATTAAAAAATCAGCAATTTACACGGCCTTAGGCTAAGATAGATCTAATACATTAATTTTGGGGGGATTGTTCAGGAAAAAAATATGGGTGTGATGTAGAGCAGAAGAGGGGGAAAAATGACTTTTCCGACTTTTTGCCGCCCGTATGGGGATGCGAGGTCAAAATTATATATGAGACAAAGTGCAATTCTATGCTTTATATTATGTATAAAGAATCAAAGAGTTATCTCCAACCAATTTTTTTTTTATGATGAAATGAGTAGGGAAAGGTAGTCATTTCCCAGGACCACCTTAAGGTCTGTTGCAAAAATTCTAGCAATTAAATATGATAGCCATTCTAAAATATAAGTTGAGTTGACTTCGGGGACCCAAAATGGAAGCATAGTTGATCCTAAACTAAGTGGGATAAAAGAGGAAAATCCAGCCTGGCAAACCCATGGAAGCCAGTTAGACCCTCCTCCTCACTATCTCCTCCATTACCTACCAAAAATTTGTCTGCTTGGAGTGTAGACTTTTGAAAGAATAGTCCTGAGAGTCCTCTGTGCCTATACAGCCCTCTCTGACGTGGCTTGTCATGGCAATCAACCATATTTCCTAACCAATGATCTAACTGTGTTAAGAGGTCATTGTGTTAATTCAAGCAATGATGGATTAGGAGTGAGTATTATTTTACCTTGGGCCCCACAAGAAAGGGCCTGCCTATGGATAAGGAAAAAAAAAAAATTATGGCAACGGGAAATATTTTTGTGGATATTGGGTTTCTTTATGTATTAAAGGAGTTACAATCTCTTATATGGCATTTTTCTGCAAAATCATATTTCTTTTGAGGCCTGTTGATTTTCAAGTCCTTGGCAAAAATATTGAGAACTTAGATAAGAAAATACACATTTTGCCTAAATCTTTATAGAACCGTTTTGATTATTTAACCCTAGAGAACCAGGCCCTGGCCTCAAAAGACTCCACCACAACAGACTTTTTGCTACTACACTTGCACTGACAACTTCTAACAAAAGTTAGGTCAGTCAGTCTCCCATCTTCCATCATGGAAGAACACAATTTTGTTTTAGCTCCCTCTGAAGTGTAAGAAAATTGTCCAACTCCAGCCATACAGGCAAAATTTATCAAATTGAGCAAGTCCATTACACAGTGCTCACAGTTTTTGTTGGAGATGATTCAAGAGATGAATGGTTCAAAGTAATATCCACTCATAAATCATTAAAAATCATCCAATCATTAAAAAACATGCCTCCTTTCATTTCATTAGAGACAAAACTCATCTAGGCTGGAGCAAGAAGAAATGCATGGGCTATAAACCTAAAAGATAATTCCCACAGCAATGTCTTTCATCATTCTGGAAGAAACCATAGTTGTTATTTGATTTAGAACTCTGGTACTTCCAAACAAAATTTGGATTTTCATAGTACTTCATCTGGAGCACTAAGCACTTTTATTGTGGAGTCATTCATTTCCATTCAAATTGCTGCATTTTTATTTTTTTTTCCTTTTCTTTTCTTTCCTTTATTTTTCTTTTTTTTCTCTTTTCATCTTTTTTTCATCCTGACTTTAAAAACAAGGTTTGTCAGATGAATTATTATCAGGGAGGCTTGGTTCTCTATGGTTAACCACATGCCACTGGGGATGACATGTATTCTTACTCATAGATGGCTCCACAAGTACTAAGTCACCAATTAGTCAATGACGAGAACTACCTGTCTCACCTTTTTGTTGATGTTTGGTAATATTTTCTGGTATTTAATTCTGCTGCTAGTGATGTCAATAACACTGTAATACTTATAATGTTTATAATAGGAATAACAGTATCAAAATTGATTGCATTGGTAAAAAAAAAAAAAAAAAAAAAAAAAAGAGGCAAACTCAAAGAAGGGTAAAATCAGGTGAGGTCACAATTGACTCCTTTGTGGCTAAGAACTGGCAGATCCATCTATTTGCAGTGATATTTAACACTATTAAAGTGAACACAACATTTTCCTACATATCAGTGCTGCTTGATATGTGGGATGAGACTAAATCAGTTTATGGCATGCTGTAACAACCAGTGGAAGATTTTTTATAAAACAAACAATATTAAGAAATTAGGACTGAAAGCTCTTTAAACCCACATACCCAGGTCAAAGATGAATTACATAATTCATATAAACATATTTTTTAATATTCTTTTGTTCATTTCACAGAGATGGAGGTAATATTTGTGAAGAATGAGGTAATTCTTGAAGACTATGAGGAAGAAATTCGCAGAATGGAAGTGAGCATGGAGGAGTACCATGAATACATATCAAGGAAGACAGAATTCTATGCTACCTGTCAGTCTGGGAGACGCTGATCTGATTCTCAAGAGGAACCATGTTTTGTCAGGCTCATTGTCGATACCATAAAAAGTTATTCATCTTTTATAATCTTTCCTTGTTTAGAATTCTGTGAAGTCCAGTAAGAAAAAGTTTTTTTTTTTTTTTATATTATGAAAGATTAAAGATGTAATTACGGATGTAATGGCTTTACTCCACTATTAAAAAAGCTTCAATAACAAAGTTTTATCAGCTTATGGAGCAAGAGAATTAAATGTTCTTGATACTGACAATGCCCAGAAACACTGTTATTTATTACCAGATACTGCACTTCATAATTCCTGAAATGAAACACTTAGGAAGCCTTTTACACTTTAATGTACAGTCAGGGATATTGAATGAATATAAATTGGTTGTATACCTGTGGCTTGTGTTTATTTGTACTTTTTAATTTTTTCCCTCCTTTTTTTGCAATAGTATTTTTCAGTTGTTGAACTGAAAATTATTTTTAAAAGGTATTTGTGTAAAGTTGATTGAACAAAACATAAATATAAATCTTCTTAAGGTCATTGTTAGCTTCTGATAGTCATAAATACAGTATTTCAACTTTTTCATTTGTATCTGTCATCATTTACATTTTATTTACAATATATTATTAAAGGGAGAATGTCTAGCAGATATGTTAGTTCACCCTTTAAATAATTTATATAAGGTGAAAAAACAAAAAATCTCTACAAATAACAGTGAATTCCTAACAGCAGTTTAATAATAATCTTCCATAAGTAGCAGTTTTGAATGGAATGACAAAGAGAATCTCTTGTGTAGTTCTTTAGATTTGACTGTAAATAAACAAGTATGTATAGATATTAAGACACTGCCACTCACTACCAAAGTGCCGAAACAATCTTTGTAGCTTGGTTTTAGTTTTGTAAAATTAACTAATAATTTTAGTGTGGTTACCATTTTCTCCTTTTTATCTTTCTCTTTTTTCAAACAATAATCTCTGTCTGTATTAGGAGCTAGGTTTTGCAGCAAAGATTGATATTTGTCATAGTTGATTTAGCTGATGCATCAGTATCCTAGTCTCTTGCAACAACTCTGTAAATATGCAAAAAAAACTTTTGATTTGGTATGTTTGTGCTTAAGTATTAGTAAATTGTGGATTTAGTTGATTTTATTATGCTATTTGTTTTTATTATCATTGTCATTATTATTATATTTATTATTGTAATTATTATTGATCATTTTAAGATAATGAACTTCGGGTGCTACTAGTGTACAAACGAGATTTTTAAATATGCCCAAAATTATCTTTTTTTGTATGAATTTGATAATAAAGTATGTATGGGTTAGGTTAGTCATGGACCAGATTATCCTCATGGCATATATATCATAATGGCTAAAAATGGTATTTGTAAATCTTATGATCCAAAATTCTCAGGGAAACTTTATCTCAAAATATAAGTATGAAATGCAAGAAAAAAATGAAAGTTGATTATAAGTGCAGAAGTTTCTTGCATAAATTAAGATTATTAACACAGTGAAAAGTAGCAGAACTGCTGTTATTGGTTTCAGATGATATATGTATCAAGTGATTAAAGATAATTAAAAATTATCATCAAAAATATCTTGAACAAAATTTAGTGTATCAGTTTGAATAGGAAGTTTGACTAAGAAATCCATCAATAAACAAGGCAAAACAAAATAAAATAAAGGAAATGAGTCAATGGCATTCATTAAGTGTAAAGATTTCTTTTTATATGAATGAAAAAATTAAAAATTTGTATCAGTATGTAGTATACGGCTCTGATAATTTCTTCCCCATGATTAAGCTGACAAACTTGAAAGAATTATAAAAATCCATACTTACCTTTACAGTCAGTTTGGTTCTACAAAATCAGGCATATTTAAGGAAAATTGCTGGAACCCTAAAGATTAACCACGCTAGAGCACCATTTTTCATTGCACTTTATTCTTTGAGATAATATAGTTTCAGAAGCAGTATAATAAATGAAGAAATGAAAACTGAGATAAGAATGTCCAATAAAAAATGTTTAGCATTTAAGCATCTTCTGGATTTTCTAATCAGGATGCAGCAGAAAATCTTGAATATGATTTGAATTAAATCATATAACGTATTTTATTTGTAAGTGAGGATTTGTAAACCTAATTCTGAGACAATGATAATAACAGAAACAAGTAACTGACAAAGAAACATTGAAGAGGTTTGTACTTGCTGACTTTTAAAAGCTGCAATTACAGCATAAAAATGATCATTATTTTTTGCTGCATAACTCAAGAGCAACAGCAATTTTTATGCTATAATATTTGAACAAAAGTGAAATAGAAAATTATATATTTAGACTATATAACAATTCACAAAATGCAATACAGTCCAGTCCCCCCCAATTCCTTGCCCATTGTTGTCGTGGGGGGGCTTAGGAGATGGAGACTGAGACCCAATGCAGGGATCTCCCCTGCCTAGGGCACCAGCCCTCGACTCAACTAATTTTGCATGGTCTTTTCCTCCTCCAGCTTTCTGTTTCCATCCCTTCTCCAAACCCTTCTACGATCTACTTCCTAAGGTGTGAGAGCCATGCTGAGAGGATGAAAGGCTGACCTTGTGCCAGTCCTGAACAGCCTGCGGGAACTATGGGCACGGTACTCCCGACTAATCTAGCCTTTACCTTTCACTAGCGATGGAGGTGGACCAGTTGATGCCTTTTATATAATCCAGGTTCCCCATGACCAGTAATGAAAATGTAATCCCTTTATTAGAAGCAATGAGGCCAGCTCCTTTATCAAATAGCCCCAACCCAGGCTCTCTTTTGACCACGGCTCCGAACACTGAAACTACTACCCACTTCTCAATGCCTATTAGTGCATTACCCACCCAAGCAGAGAATCAATCTCCAGAAGATATTCCTACCCACCCAACTTCCTCAAATTCATCAACTCCACCCCTGGATAAAGAAAACCTTTATCCTACAAAACTCTCCAACCAACTCCATTGCAGAAACAATTACCTTCTCACAAAACTCTCCAACCAATTCCACTGCAGAAACAATGGATGGCATCCAAAGTTATATGCTTAAGAATCAAGCAATCAATCCTCCCTTATTACTACCTTGCAGCCTTATTCTCCATCATTCCGTAATACTCCCTCTTCCACACGTCCCCGACCATCCATCACCACCAACCCTACAGATATCTTAAATATTCTGTTTAGCCCAGCTAAATGGGACCGATTTTTTGTGATCCCTTCTACAGCTCCTTACTCAGGCAACACTCTTCTCTTTCAACAATGCCTCCAAAAACACATAGGCAGAGTCCCTTTCTATACCAGACGTGATCGCTCTCGTCTTGTAACAGTCAGATCAGAAACTGAATCTATAGCACTATCAAATTTAACTGATCATTCTGGCAACCCCATACCTGCAGAACCTCATCCAACCCTTAATACTTGTACCGGAACTGTCTCTCTCTCCCCAGTAAACTGCCCAGTCAATACCAAAGATTGGTCAGACTGTGGAGAAGACTTATTAGGATGCCTCAAAGACCAAGATGTGAAATCAGTACGTTGCTACACCATTCCTCTTAAAGGTCAACGAAAGAATCCGACCAACATTGCCAAAATTACCTTCCATACACATGACCTTCCTTTAGGTATCTACATCGATGGACAATCCCTCCCTGTTCGACCATACCAACCCCCTCCCCGTCAATGTCAAAACTGTTGGCGCTTTGAACATCCTGCCAAACATTGCTGTTCCACAGATCGATGCCCCATATGTGCCCAACCTGGTCATAATCGATCAAGCTGCTCAGCACAAACACGAACATGTGCTAACTGCGGCGGCCCCCATAATGTATTTTATAGAGGCTGTCCCACTTACAAGTTTGAATCTGTGGTAGCAACTCTCTGATACAAAAATGGTCTCACTTTACGTGAAGCCAGACAGGAAGCACGTCGACAAGGTTTCTCTCATACTCCATACTCTAGTAACATCGTTCGCTCAGCCCCTCCCCCTCCACCCCAAGATGTCCCCATTTCCACTTCTACATTCTACTTCCCTCAGACCAATTCTTTTGCCACTCTAAACCCAGACACCCCAATCTCAACTACAGCCCCAACACCACCCCCTCTCCCTCCCCGCACTACCCGCAGTAGACAGACTAAACGTTCTAACCCTTCTTCCTCTACAGCACAATCACCTCCACCTACCTTTACCTTTATTCCTGAGACACCAGTCTCCCCTTCCCGCCACCCCCTCATAAGAAAACCTTTATCCCACAAAACTCTCCAACCAACTCCATTGCAGAAACAATTACCTACCCACCAAACTCTCCAACCAATTCCACAGCAGAAACAATGGATGACGTCCAAAGTTATATGCTTAAGACACAAGATCCCATAACTCATGCTCCTTCCACACTTGAAGTGGTTGCCGATATTCATACCCCTCCTACTAATATTCCCCCTACACCCCTTCCTCCTACTCCCTCTCAGCACAACCTAACCCTCTCAATCCCGTCCACCACCGTTATCCATCCTCCCAATACCCATCCTCCTGACATCCATCCCCCTTGTACACCCCCTCTTCCAACTCCCTCTCAACACAACCTAACCTCCTCAATTCCGTCCACCACCGATATCCATCCTCCCAATATCCATCCCCCTCACTCACAGCACCCCTACACCCCTTCCTCCTAATCCCTCCCGAGACAACACATCCCCTTCAACTCCAACTATCTATCCTTCCGATATCCACCCTCCTACCACTAGTACTCCCCCCACATCTACTCCCTCCCAACACAACCCACCCCCTTCAACCCCAACTATAAGCACATTCTCCCTCCTTCCATCCCCCCTATCTTTTGTACTCCCTCCCGGATACACACGAGAATCACTCATGTCACAACAATGCCCTTCCCCAAATTCCCTACCTCCTAATGTCCCTCCTTCACACCCCCTAGCTCCTTCTCCAGATTCCCCAATACGTACCATATGCGATATCACTCATAAGCTATAGCTCTCCTACATTGGAATATTCGCGGTTTCCGCTCTCATAGACCAGACCTACGTTATATCCTTACGTCTTATAATCCATCTATTATCTGCCTCCAAGAGACTTTCCTCACACACCCTCCTATTCCAATTCCCAATTACCATTTTATCTCTTCCCCACATTCCTTTATGTCTCGTCTATACTTATCCATCATAAAATACCATATGTCATACCTCCCATACAAACCACTGCCCCGTGCACAGCTATTCGCATCTTTCTTCGCCGCTGGATCACAGTAATTTCAGTCTACTTCTCCCCATCCCATCCCACTGACTTTGTTGCCTTTGAAACTCTAATTTCCCAACTCCATTGCTGGGTACCCAGCCATGTTGGAATCCCTGGCAATGAACAGGCAGATACTCTTGCACGATATGCTGCAATGTCCACATCACCTCAACAACGCTTCTCACATATTCCAGCTACGGATTACTACCCCCACTTTAAGACCTTCTTGTATACCCGATGGCAATCTTTTTGGTCAAGACTCCACAACAATAAATTACATACCGTAAAACCATCAATCTCCTCTTGGTTAGCTCCATTTCACAAAGACGTTGGGAGACGGCCCTCGCACGATTACGTATTGGCCACACTCGCCTAACACACGCCTATCTAATGTCACGCTCAGACCCGCCCCTATGTCCTCTATGTAACATCCCTCTTTCAGTCCCACACATTCTCTTGTCCTGTCCACGCTTTAATACAGCACGTACCTCTGCTTTTCCACACCTATCCTCCCTTCACCGACCTCCCAACATATCAGACATCCTTACAGAATCCCACAACTGCCTCGACAACCTGTTCTCCTTCCTCAGCCGCATAAATATCCTTCACTTGATCTAACTCCCTTACCTAAACCACCATAATCCTTTCCCTCATCTTCAACCTTTCAACACTATTCTAGATAGTTGACACATAGCAACTATCACCTGACATCCCCCTTTACTATACCTTCCTATAGTGCTATATGACCTTAGATGTCTAGCACATTTATCTTAACCGATCTCTAAAACGCTTCCTCTTCACAAATAACCTGATTATTCTTAATTCAGATCGCCCCACACACTTTTGACATGCGCACACAATCCTTTTCATGCCTTGACCTCTCTCTATGATTTCCTACTCTACATTTAGATTTCCATTGGTCAGTTCTAGACCACTTCCCCTATACTGACCACTTCACAGTACTCCTTTTTCCTACTTCATATGTACCACTTCCTAATCCTCAACGCTGGTGCTTTGATAGAGCTAACTGGCATACTTTCACTTCACTCTCTACTATACCTAT